AGAGGCGCGCGCCTTCCTCCCAGGGCTTTGCACGTATTGTTATTACCTGTGGTCAAATTGTCATTGATCTTTAGGGGCACCCTCAGGATGTAGACCAGGAAAAGCATGACGAAGAACCAGAGGGTCCACAGATAGGTCCACGACCAGACGATGCAAGCCTTCAGCTGCTTCAGAAAGCCGGCCCCAGCTTCAGCCATGTTTTTGAAGAGAGAGGGAAAGGACAGGAGAGGAGAGGGAGAGCAAAACCACACACGCACTTCGGCCCGCCTCTCCACTGCCACAACTACTTCGCACTGTGTATTTCTGGGATGATTCATGTCTCCCAAAGTAACGTGTCCCCCCCTTCCACCTCCGCCCACTCTCAGGGTTTCCACCCTGGCATCTATTTAAGCCACTGCTTAACGTTGTAAACAAACAGCAGTTAAGGGGTGGGGTGGGGGGAACCACGGCAAGAGCAACCCCCACCGTCTTTCTCCGGGCACGCACAGCCTGAACCCAGTGCTTCTGTTTCTAATAAAACTGTCATTGCAATGCAGAGACTTCAAAACTGACGCTGACGGGATAAAAGTGACAGCAAAAAGAAGCGTTTCCCACATTAAGTCGTCATGCTCACTAATTTTTACCTCTTTTTAACCACCTCAGTGGCCATCCTGGCGTAACAATTGAAAGAGATGTGTAATTTTAAATATCACATACACCGGTTTTTTATCTGCCTGGATTTGACTTCTGCATATGCTCCAGCTACTCCTAATTTGCTTTTATAGTTTTTCAGAAAGAGCTTGTTACCAATGGCTGATCCCCCAACTCCCAATGGTGTATTGGTAGGAAATGTTGTTAGATTTCCAGTTACTCTGCTGTACAACTTAAGTCCATTGTGAATTAAATACAGTACTCATAAATTTTAAAAGGTACCCCCCCCCTCCCAGTATGTCAACTGCAGGATACAAATTTAAAATAAATGATTACTCTTTATTTTAAACTCAACCCTTCAACGAACTACAGTATAGATTGCACAAATGACTCCTCTGTTGTTGTTCTCTTACAGTCTACCCATAGAGTAAACCTAGTCCAAGGTCATTCCATGCGGGAGGGGATCCTGCTGGATCAGGTGAAAGGTCCATCTAATCCAGCTTCCTGTATCTCACAGTGGTCCCACCTGATACCTCTGGGAGCATACCAGACAACTAGATACTGTACATGTTTCCTAACACCTCTCCTCTCCATGTGGCATTTTGAGGTACCTTCCTTTTAAACCTGGAGATTATACATCCACATCATGGCTTGTAAATTGTGATAGATTTTTCTTCCAGGAATCTGAAGGGTATTTATTTATTTATTTATTTGATTTGTTTATTTATTTGATTTATACCCCGCCTATCTGGCCCACCGGGCCACTCTAGGTGGCTTCCAGTATAAAATCAGATAATAAAAACATAGGCAACAACAGCAGTAAAATAAAAAAGGAAAAGTAAGAGAGAAATCAGGAATTGGCTGGAGGGAAGGCCTGGATAAACAGCCATGTTTTTAGTTGGGTTTTAAAGATGCCCAGCGTGGGGGCTGTGCAAATCTCCGGAGGGAGATTGTTCCAGAGGCGAGGATCCACTGCTGAGAAGGCCCAGTTTCGTGTTTTCTCCTTCCAGGCCTCTCTCGGCGTCAGGCTCCTCAACCTCACCTCCTGACTCGTGCGGGTGACCTGGGTAGACCTTGGTGCCAAGTGCTTTAAGGTAGTCCTGAAGGACCACGCAGCCAATGCAATGCAGCCAGCGTTGGAGAGATGTGTTGGTATTTCCTCACTCCTGTAAGGAGCCTGGCCGCCGCATTCTGCACCACCTGAAGTTTCCGTGGGGATTGCAACCCAAATTTCCTTAGGCACTGTTCAGCATTGTTGCAGCTACATCATATTTCCTATAAAAATCTTCAGGACTGAGTACAGAATAGGCCAAAAAGAGATGCCAGCAGTGTGTTAACAGGGAAAAGGGCACCCAGGCAGCTTAGTATAAAGAAAATAGAGTGGTGTCTTGATTTACGAACATCCTGACATAAGACCATTTCAAGTTACAACCAGCTCCGGGCACAAAATTTTGTTTCGACTTGCAGCCGAAGCTTCGAGTTACAACCAGAAAAAGGCGGGGAATTCAAATTGCTAACAACTGGTGGCAAAGAGGTTTCTTTGTAGCTCTTTCACCCCAGCAGTTAGAAAGTGTGCGATCCGAGAACACTTTGAACTGCCTGGTAAGGTAAGGTACTGCTATCTACGAGCTCTTTCACCCCAGCAGTTAGAAAGTGTGCGATCCGAGAACACTTTGGACTGCCTGGTAAGGTAAGGCACTGCTTTCTACGTTTTGAAAACCGTTCTGGGTGGGTTTTGCAGCGTGATTTCGGGCTGAGTGGTGGGATTATGTTTCTATGCTGTGATGGATCTTGCAGAGTTTGTTTGTTTTTTGGTCTCCCCCATTTCCGATGGGTCTTGCAGGGTTTGTTTGCTTTTTGAATTCCCCCTCCCATTTTTGATGGGTCTTGTGGGATTTATTTGCTTTTGGGTTTTCCCCCCCATTTCCAATGGGCAAAGTAATGAGCTTTTAATGTCTGGAAACTGGTATGCTTTCACATTCAAGATACTTCCCCCGCCACCACCTTGCTTTTTGCTTTGCTTTTTTGCATTTCCGAAGGGTCTTGTATGGTTTGTTTGCTTTTCTCCCCCCGCCCCCTTGGCCAGAACGGATTAATCACATTTCCAATGGGTCTTGCAATGTTTTGTTTGTTTTTTTGGTGATTTTTTTTTCTATGGCCGGAATGGATTTAATTGCATTTCAGTGCATTCCTATGGGCAATGGTGCTTCGACATACAACCATTGTTACGACTGGAGTTCCTGAACCAATTAAGTTCGTAAGTCGAGGCACCACTGTATGTGTAATCACTGATTCAACATTGTTCCTGAAGCACCTTACCTCTGGTCATCTAAGAGAGAACAAATGTCTGCCTGAGAGTCCTTTTACATACCATCCTCCATTTTAAAGGCGGCCCAGTCCATATATAATTTAAATATGAAGAATCATAAGGAAGAAGATCAAGGACCTTGAAGTTGTCCATCCACAGTAAGCACATAGACAACAGACTATAGAGGCATGTGTATCATCTGCTTACTCTTTTCCATACTTGAGAGAAATATACGGGTGACAATTTTATTTCAATTTAGAAAACGACTAAGAGTTCTCCAACTGTACATATTAATTAGCTTATGTAAATGTGAGGCCCCCAAAATGGAGGCCTTAGAGGGAGTGCCGTCGCTCACGAAGAGAACCCTTCACACCCAAACATCCCCACCTCCGCCCCCAACGCGTCGGGAAGAGAAAGCAGTGGAGACCCCAGATTGGGAGCAGGAGATCGCCGAACCCCTCACCTTAAACAAAGGGGCAGATACAGGAGATTTGGAGGCGACTCTGAAAGGGTTAACCCTTACCCCTGGACCCGGGGGATCTTTGGCGGGAAGACGGAGGGAGGAGATTGAGGCGGCGGCGGGAGATATAAGAGGAAAGCAGGCGGAGATATCGGGGGGTTGGGGGTGGATCTGGATGGAAGATCCCTGGAGCCACAAGTGGGAGCAGGTCCACGTCCCACATGAAGAGGCGGAGAAGCGCCGTCAGCTTGGGCTGAAACCTCGTCCTTATTGGGGCGAGACAGAGGCTAAGGAATGGAGAAGGAAACTCCGGGAAGAAAGAGAGGCGGTAGCCCGAGAGCTGGCGAGGAAAAAGCAATGGCATATAGCCGAATTGAGGAAGTTGGGGGGTTACCCGGCCCCTGGGGAATCGAAGGAGGAGACGGGTCATCCTGGGGTGAGTGGAGTGGGGATGAAGAGACTTTACCGTTAATATCGTTGGAAGAGGAATTGGACCCTGGGCAGGGACCTGTGCCGTCATTAACAGGACCTTGGAACCCAGAGACGACAAACCCCTTCATAAATGGTTTATGGACCCCGTTAAAACCGAGCAACGTTTTATAAGAGACTTTGAACCCCTTTCTGGGGGTGAACCCTGTTGGTGTTGATGTTGCAATAAATACAAAGCCATTGGATTTACTTCAACCGTCTCGTCCTTTATTTGAAGTACCGACAGTCCCACAAACTGAACCCTCACAGTAAATTATGCAAACCAATGTCTCCTTTGGCATCTATTTTTGGTGACCAATATGGCAAATATACTTTTTTGGGGGTGTGTGTGTGATATGCTTGTTCTTTGACTTACAACTAGAGATGGGCATAAATTGGCTGTTTGTCCCAGTTTGTTTGCCACTGCAAGAGTTGTTTGGTGGTTCGGTGCTCCGCCCCTCTGGCAGGTGCCCACTCAAAAGCAGCTTCCTGTTTTCCCTGCCCCACTTCTTCTGTGCACTGCTTCCAAGTAGGCATCCAAAAGAGGGGGCGAGGAACCAAACTGACAAACACCTGTTGCTATAGTAAATGAACTGGGCCAAACCGGTGGTTTGTGCCAATCTCTATAACTACTGCTGTCGTGTCTTGCTTTTAGACTTTCCATAGGCATCTGGTTGAACACAATACTGTACTACGGGAGTTTTTGATCAAGCATGTCTCTTACAGTATGTTCTCAATTTAGAAGATATAACACAGGTAAAAGGGATAGGAAGGGAAGAGGGAGAAAGAACATGCTGGTGTCAGTTCTTAAAGGCAAGTAGCAGTTTTAATAAAAATGTTTAGAAACAGTTTAGGACAGTGATGGCTAACTTTTTTGAGTCCAAGTGCCCAAACAGTGACACAAAACCAAATTATTTCTTTCAAAGTGCCAACACTGCAATTAAATCTGAATACTGATGTTTTAGTTTGGAAAAAAAAA